AATACCTCATGCTCCAACTTCGTTACATAACGGTTCATCATACGTGCATGCTATGGGAATCACAAAGCTCAACACAAGTATTTCTCAAATTCACAATTACTCCACTAGCATGACTCTACTATCACCATCCTCATATCTCAAAACAATCATAAGGAATCAAACTTCTCATAGTATTCAATGCACTTTATATGAAAGTTTTTATTGTATCCCTCTTGGATGCCTATCATATTAGGACTAAATTCATAACCAAAGCAAATTACCACGCTGTTTAAGACTCTCAAAATAATATAAGTGAAGCACGAGAGTTCATCAATTTCTTCAAAATAAAACCACCACCGTGCTCTAAAAAGATATAAGTGAAGCACTAGAGCAAATGACAAACTACTCCAAAAGATATAAGTGAAGATCAATGAGTAGTCGAATAATTATGCAACTATTTGAAGACTCTCTAGCATTTAAGAATTTCAAATCTTGGGATATTATTCAAACATCAAGCAAAACAAAATAAAATAAAATGATGCTCCAAGCAAAACACATATCAAGTGGTGAATAAAAATATAGCTCTAAGTAAAGTTACCGATGAACGAAGACGAAAGAGGGGATGCCATCCGGGGCATCCCCAAGCTTAGGCTCTTGGTTTTCCTTGAATATTGCCTTGGGGTGCCTTGGGAATCCCCAATCTTAGGCTCTTGCCACTCCTTATTCCATAGTCCATAAAATCTTTACCCAAAACTTAAAACTTCACAACACAAAACTCAATAGAAAACTCGTAAGCTCTGTTAGTATAAGAAAATAAATCACCACTTAGGTACTATTGTGAACTCATTCTAAATTCATATTGGTGTAATATCTACTGTATTCCAATTTCTCTATGGTTCATACCCTCTGATACTACTCATAGATTCATCAAAATAAGCAAACAACACATAGAAAACAGAATCTGTCAAAAACAGAACAGTCTGTAGTAATCTGTAACTCTCGAATACTTATGTAACTTCAAAACTCCATCCAAATTAGTAAAACTTCAGAACTTTGTGTACCAATTAAGAGCAAAAATAATCATATCAAAATCACATTTCTGTGAATTATTAAAACTTATTTACTGGGTGCAAAAATTTCTGATTTCAGCAGGATCAACACAACTATCACCGTAAGCTATCCCAAAGGTCTTACTTGGCACTTTATTGAAGCAAAAGCTATAAAACATGATTACTAAAGTATCATAATCATGTGAAAACACAAAAATAGTAGGGGTAAATGTTGGGTTGTCTCCCAACAAGCGCTTTCCTTTAATGCCTTTCTAGCTAGGCATGGTGATGACAATGATGCTCACATAAAAGATAAGAATTGAAACATAACGGGAGCATCATGAAGCATATGACTAGCACATTTAAGTCTAACCCACTTCCTATGCATAGGGATTTTTTGAGCAAACAACTTATGGGAACTAGAATCAACTAGCATAGGAAAGCAAAACAAGCATAGCTTCAAGATTTTCAACACATACACTGCGTTTGGATGTCTCCATTGAAGCCATGGAAACTGGATTGGTATTCCGATGACAGCAATGTAGATGTTTGGCTGGACACTGAATCTGTATGGAAACATAGAGGCAATTCAGCTCGTTTTGGCACCCACGTAAAACTCCCTCCCACATTTCGGAGGCCTGCCGCTCCGATTTCAACTAAAATCACTCGCTCCCGCAAAACATACCATTTCACCCCCGCGTCCACGAATAGAAGGAGAAAAAGAAAGGGAGATCAGACAGAAGAGGGAGCTCGGTGGCGACCACCACGATGCTCGGCGGCTGCGCAAGTACCCTTCCTCGACGGTCCTCTCCTGCTCTTCCCCACCGGTTTCTCCACCCCGTCCTGCATCCCCTAGTCCATGCTACCATAGCTCCACCCCGATCCTGTCTCCATCTCCGGCGGCGACCGCCATGGATCCTGGTCCCCGTCCCCATCCCCAGCTATGGGGAAACGAGAGGAAGTCCGGCGACGAGCATCGCCCCGTCCGTCGCGCTCCAGTCTCCTGAGCTACGCCCCCGCCCCTGTACCTCAGCCCCGATTTGACTCATGGTTGTTCTCCCTCATCCTCCGCTGCTGCTAGAGGTAAGACCTCTACTGCTCACCAACCTATCCGTCCAAGAACACGGTGTTTTCGTATGGTCTCTTGCCTCGGCAGTAGCAAGGAATCGACCAGGGAGAGGTAAGGTAGCACTTTACTAAACTTACCTACAGTGTTGATTTGCTCAGTAGGTTCTGACAATTTCAGTGATAACACCGTTTTATTATCGAGAACCACAAAGACCGTGCAGGTTATTTCAGCAGTTCAGTCATGCGTATAATACAACAATGCAAGTACAATCTCCAAGCTAGTGCACTCCAAGCATAGTTTAATATTCATAGATGCATCTTTCTTTTTCTTCCAGATTTTCTTTAATCTCCGTAAGAAATGAATGTATGACCATACGCAATTATGTGTAAATATGGTACTGCTTATGTACCTAATAATTTCTATGAGTGTACATTAGCATGAAGAACACAATATAAACTTTATTCTAATGTAACTATGCAATTGTGAAGTTTGTCATCCAAACATGATTTGGTATCGAAACCTCACAAGCATTTCAAGGGCCAATTCAGTGAACAACCAAACATGCGAATTCGTATTCACACCATTTCAGTTTCCTTATCGAATTGGATTTCAGTAGCATCATGAATGAATTCGGAGGTCTTCAATACGGACATCCAAACGAAGCGATAGAGAGGAAACTTGATATTATTGCAATTCCTACAAGCATATATTGCTTCCTCATAATAATTTTCAGTAGCATCATGAATGAATTCAACAATATAACCATCACGTAAAGCATTATTTTCATGATCCCCAAGCATATAGATTTTATTACTCTCCACATAAGCAAACTTCTTCTCATTCGGAATAGTGGGAGTATTAAGAAACTCGAATACTATAAATTGTTTCAACAATAAAAGAGTAATGTTCAGAAAAAGGGTAATCATAATAATGACAAGTTTTATAAATATAATCATGACTACTTTTTATAACATAAGTATCATCACAATAATCATCATAAGTAGCAACTTTGTTCTCATCATAATCAATTGAAACCTATTCCAAGATAGTGGAATCATTACTAAATAAAGTCATGACCTCTCCAAATCTACTTTTATAGTTCTCACAATAAGATTCAACACCCTCCAAAATAGTGGGATCATTAGTTTCTAAAGTTGACACTCTTCAAAGCCACTTTCATCAATATAATCATAATAAATAGGAGGCATGCTTTCATCATAATAAATTTTCTCATCAAAACTTAGGGGACAAAAAATATCATCTTCATCAAAATAGCACCCCCAAGCTTGTAGCTTTGCATATCATTAGCATCATGGATATTGAAGGAGTTCATACTAACAACATTGCAATCATGCTCATCATTAAAAGATTTAGTGCAAATTTTTTAATGCATTCTTCTTCTAACACTTGGGCACAATTTTCCTTTCCATCATTTTCATGAAAGACATTAAAAAGATGAAGCATATGAGGAAACCTCAATTTCATTTTTTTGTAGTTTTTTTTATAAACTAAACTAGTGATAAAACAAGAATCTAAAAGATTCAATTGCAAGATCTAAAGATATACCTTCAAGCACTATCCTCCTCGGCAACGGCGCCAGAAAAGAGTTTGATGTCTACAACACAACCTTCTTCTTGTAGACGTTGTTGGGCCTCCAAGTGCAGAGGTTTGTAGGACAGTAGCAAATTTCCCTCAAGTGGATGACCTAAGGTTTATCAATCCGTAAGAGGCGTAGGATAAAGATGGTCTCTCTCAAACAACCCTGCAACCAAATAACAAAGAGTCTCTTCTGTCCCCAACACACCCAATACAATGCTAAATTGTATATGTGCACTAGTTAATATGTTAATAGGTTAGTCCCAAAAATCATATGAAATAGCATATAAATGCATATAAAACATCCAAGATAGATAATATAATAGCATGGAACAATCAAAAATTATAAATACATTGGAGACGTATCATGCGCGCGCACTGCTCTGGTTTTTCTTTGTTTTTTCTTTTTCATTTCTTTTCTGTTATCTTTTTTACACATGTATAATTTTTCTTCGTACCCAATGTACATTTATAACGCACACATAAAATATTATTTGATAAACATTTGATATTTTCAAGTACATTGTGTAAATTTTTAAATTACATCTTCCATTTTTTTAAATACATGGTTATATATTTCCAAATACATGTTTAAATTTTCTTAATGACAATAAATATTTCATAAAACTACACAAACACTCTTTTGCATGGTTCCAAATTTTTAAATTTGTATACACTTTTTTCAAACACATGCCACATATATTCTGTTAAGTGTAAGGCACATTTTTTTTACAACACGCAAACATATTTTTTTACATTGTACACACATTTTTTTTGAAATGTCACAAACACATTTTTTTAAGCTCGTGAACGCTATTGAAATTTTACATTTTTATGAATATACGAAACATTTTTTGAATCACACAAATATTATACATTGTATAAACATTTGTTTGAATTGGTCCGTACATTTTTTTAAACTTGTGATGTTTTTTAGATGTCACAAAATATTTTATTTTAATTTGCTCAGATTTCGAAATTTGTTTCTGTTTTTAAAATTTTCATGTCTGGTGGGCCGGCCCAGTCGAGTCCTTAGCCAATAATCCGAAACATTTTCTGAAAACATTATTTAAAAAATTCCAAAAACATTATTTATAAAATGTGAAACCATTTTTTTAAGGCAAGTCGATTGACATTAACTATCGTGTATAAGTTCATCACAATTTAGAATTTGCTTCAACTCGATCGAGTAGAATGACTTCGGTTTTAGTCGACATGGTCTTACTGAAACGGGGTGTTAGTTTAGTTAACAACTGAATGGCTTCAGCTTTAATCGACATGTCACATCATTTTCAACACTACAAATGTTACAGTTTGCTGTTGTTTCCTACTATCTTGGTAAGGCTGCCCATTGCCCGGGCCTTCTCCCGGAGAACAAACTTCTGCGTCTTCCCCGTCGAAGTCTTGGGCAGATCCTCAAACACCACCGTCTTGGGCGCCATGAAGTGCGGCAGCCTCTCCCGGCAGAAGCCGATGATCTCTGCCTCCGTGGCAATAGCACCGTCCTTCAGCTTGACGAACGCGCATGGCGTCTCCCCCCAGTGGTCGTCGGGCCTCGCCACGACCGCCGCCTCCAGCACCGCCGGGTGGCTGAAGATCACCGACTCCACCTCGATCGAGCTGATGTTCTCGCCGCCTGATATGATGATGTCCTTGGCCCGGTCCTTGAGCTGGATGTACCCGTCCGGGTGCCGCACGGCGAGGTCTCCAGTGTGCAGCCACCCGCCGGCCATGGACTCCTTGGTGGCGGTGATGTCCTTGTAGTATCCGCTCATGACGGTGTTGCCGCGGAACATCACCTCGCCCACCACCTCGCCGTCGCGCGGCACGCTCTCCATGGTCACCGGGTCCTTGACGTCGGCCTCCTCCATCGCGATGTGCTGGAACCCCTGCCGCGCCTTGAGCCGCGCGCGCTCCTCGCCCGGCAGCGCGTCCCACTCCGGCATCCACGTGCACACGGTGGCGGGGCCGTACGTCTCCGTGAGGCCGTAGATGTGGTACACCGCGAAGCCGAGCTCCTCCATCCCGGCCAGGACGCGGGGCGGCGGCGGCGCGCCGCCCGTCATGACGCGCACCGTCCCCGGCAGCGGCCTCCGGTCCGCGGCCGGCGCGTTGACGATCATGTTGAGCACCGTGGGCGCGCCGCCCATGTGCGTCACCCCGTGCCGCTCGATGGTGTCGAAGATGACGGCGGCGGTGAAGTGGCGGAGGCAAACGTTGGTGCCGCCCTGCATGGCGACGCCCCACGGTAGGTGCCAGCCGTTGCAGTGGAACATGGGCACCGTCCACAGGTAGGTCGGCATCGGGGTGATGTCGTAGGCCAGGACGGTGCCGATGGTGTTGAGGTAGGCGCCCCGGTGGTTGTACACCACGCCCTTGGGCCGCGACGTCGTGCCGGACGTGTAGTTGAGCGTGATCGGGTCCAGCTCGTCCGCCGGCCACCGGATGTCAAACGCAGACGGAGCGCTCTTTATCAGACCCTCGTAGTCGTAGTCCGCCGCCCGGCCGGAGTCTTGGCCGGCGTCGTCCGAGATGGTTACGAGAACCGGAATGCTGGCGGCGTTGGACTCAGAGTCGGCGATGCGCTTGAGGGCGGCTCTGCCGACGTGGAGGAGGCTGGACTCGACGAGGAACACCTTGGCGCCGGAGTGCTTGAGCAGGGCGGACACCATGGGCGCGTCGTGCCGCGTGTTGAACGTGCAGAGCACAGCGCCGGCCATGGGCACGGCGAAGTGCAGCTCGTACATCGCAGGCACGTTCGGGCTGAGCACAGCCACCTGCACACTCCGAATAGTGAAAAAACAGAGAAGCTCTTACCATCACTCTGACTATTTTTCACTCTGAGATAGTAGATCACGGACGGGCAGAGAGCAAGCAAAGCAAAAGGCAGAGAGCGACAGCAAACCGGACGGATGGGAGCGTGACGGTAGTTCCATCCATACTCACCACGTCACCGCGGGCGACGCCGAAGCGTGCGGCGAGGGCGGCGGCCACGCGGACGCAGCGCTCCCGCACCTCCCTCCACGTGCGCCGCCGGGCCTCCCCGTACACCACGGCGGGGCGGTCGCCGTACACGGCCGCGGCGCGCTCGATGAAGCTGAGCGGCGTGAGCGGCGCGTAGTTGGCCGCGCAGCGCACCGTGCCGGCGTCCATGTCCAGCACTTCCACCTCCTGATCCTCGCCCCTTCCAGCCAGGCTGGAGAAGAAGGAGAGCGACGACAGGGACGCGCGCGGGCGGCATGGCCATGGCGTGGATAGTAAAGAAGTAAACGCGCGCGCCCCGGCGAGATCGGGGGTGGGATTAGAATAACCCTGGTGGGGATTAGAATAATGGTGGCGGGTCAGCTGGCGCTGGGGTGATCCGATGCCGTCGCAGACGCTGACGATGCTGCGGTGGCGATGGGTTATTAGTCTACGAAGCATCGCGGCTCTGCTGCTGCTCATGGCGTGTGAGAGTGAGAGTGAGAGTGATGGTGTCAGGAGGAGGATCACGCAGGCCACGGGATGCAGACAACCAACTTGCATCAAGCTGCACGCTCTCTGGATAACAACAACAGGCACTGATGGGATGGGATGGGATGGGTTGTTGGATTTACTTGCGTGCTTGCTACGGAAATACGTACACGAAAAAAATTAGAGGAAATGTTACATAACTAATTCAAACCACCAACGATGGAAGACCTCGTCGTTCCATACGAATCAAAGTTCAAGTCACCAGATCGTCCCCGGGGATCGTTGCGTTCCGGTAACTCTCCAAAGGTCACCGTGCGATTGCACACAACCAATCCGGTGTAAGTGTTGCCTCCAGTTCGGTCATATCGCTCGATTCTACCGGGCAGAATCTTGTACCGACAATACTATGACGCCTTGGCGAGCCAGTTCATCACCTCCCCCGCCGGCGCCTGCACCCATCGATAATGCTACCCTAGTTGACGTGCCTTTGCATCTTGTCCTCGCGAAGGAGGGCGTCGCATTGAGCTTCGATACTGTTTTAGGCATGTTGGAAGTGTTTTCGCGAGAGCAGATGCTGCTCTCTGTGAACTCCAGGTCGTGCTGGTCGTGTCTCCGTTGCCCAAGCTTCACTGGTTATACACAAGAGGGGGCAACATTCTGTGGAGGTCCCTCACTCGTGTTGGACCCTGCCTGTGCTACCAACTTCTTCCGAGAGTGAAGTCATCGTTAAGGTTGTGGCTTCAATACCGCAAATTATGCCAGGGTTGCAAGAGCTAGGGAGCCCTTTTTCCTCTCTCTCGATGATGCTTCTGAGTGAGATCGGCTCACTAGGGGCCTCGGCGGTGCCCATGACACCCTCACCATTATCGCTGGAGCCCAGCCAACCGCCCACATTTGTGGACTATGGTGGTTTAGATGTTGTTGTCACTCACTCGTCTGTGACTATTGGGCTAGCGGCGTCTGTGGATAAAGGTTATTAAGGTGGTGACATCAAAAAATGTTATTGAGGTAGGTGATACGTCTCCAACGTATCTATAATTTTTGTCTGTTTCATGCTATTATATTATCAATCTTGAATATTTTATATAAGTTTGTGCTATTTTATATCATTTTTTGGGACTAACCTATTAACCCAGTGCCTAGTGCCACTTGCTGTTTTCTGCTTGTTCTTGGTTTTCTAGAAAACCAGTACCAAACGGAGTCCAATGGCTATGAAATTTTTTTGCGATTTTTTTTGGACAAGAGAGACCCTAGAAGTTTTGGGAGGAGACCAGACGGTAATCGAGGAGACGACAAGGCAACAAGGCACGCCCTATTTCCTTGTGGCCCATGAGGCTCCATCTAACCTAATTCCACATCCATAAGGGTGCGTCGACTGCAAATTAAAAATTTTCTACACGCAGATCAATCAGGAACATCCTACGGGAGATGAATCACAGATCGTTACCGTTAGATGTGCAGTGCCGTGCAGCGGAAGTAGAGTTGGGGCAGCGCGTCCGCGGGGTTCGTCTCCTCCTCATGCGATCTCCCTCGAACAGTCAGTCATCGGATCCTATTGATATGTCTCCATCGTATCTACTTTTTCTAAGACTTTTGCTCTTGTTTTAGACTCTAATTAGCATGATTTGAACGAAACTAACCTAGACTGAAGCTATTTTTGGCAGAACTACCATGGTGTTGTTTTTTTGCATAAATAGAAATTCTCGGATTTGGACGAAACTTTTTGAAGAATTATTTGGAATAAATAAAAAATACTGGAACCAAGACCCACTGGAGTGAAGGAAATATGCCCTAGAGGCAATAATAAAGTTCTTATTTTATATATTTCCTTATTCATGATTAATGTTTATTATTCATGCTAGAATTGTATTAACCAGAAACTTGATACATGTGTGAATACATGGACAAAACACCATGTTCCTAGTATGCCTCTACTTGACTAGCTCGTTGATCAAAGATGGTTAAGTTTCCTAGCCATGGACATGAGTTGTCATTTGATGAAAGGGATCACATCATTGGTGCAATGATGTGATGGACAAGATCCATCTGTTAGCTTAGCATAATGATCGTTCAGTTTTATTGCTACTGCTTTCTTCATGTAAAATACATATTCCTCCGACTATGAGATTATGCAACTCCTGGACACCGGAGGAATGCCTTGTGTGCTATCAAATGTCACAACGTAACTGGGTTATTATAAAGATGCTCTACAAGTATCTCCGAAGGTGTTTGTTGGGTTGGCATAGATTGAGATTGAGTATGTGAGAGGTATCTCTGGGCCCTCTCGGTAATGCACATCATATGAAGCCTTGCAAGCAATGTGACTAATGAGTTAGTTGTGGGATGATGCATTACGGAACGAGTAAAGAGACTTGCCGGTAACGAGATTGAACTAGGTATGAAGATATCGATGATCGAATCTCGAGCAAGTAACATACCGATGACAAAGGGAATTATGTATGTTATCATAACGGTTTGACCGATAAATATCTTCGCAGAATATGTAGGAACCAATATGAGCATCCAGGTTCTGCTATTGGGTATTGACCAGAGAGATGTCTCGGTCATGTCTACATAGTTCTCGAACCCGCAGGGTCCGCACGCTTAAAGTTCGATGACGATATGTATTATATGAGTTATGTGTTTTGGTTACCGAAGTTTGTTCGGAGTCCCGGATAAGATCACGGACATGACGAGGAGTCTCTAAATGGTCAAGAGGTAAATATTAATATATTGGAAGGTTATATTCAAACATCGGAATGGTTTTCGAATGTTTTAGATAATTTTTCGGAGTACCGAGGGGTTACCGGAACCCCCCGGGGAAGTAACGGGCCTTATTGGGCCATAGGGGAGAGAAGAGGCAGGCCACAGGAGG